AACTCCCCTTTAAAAACTGGAAGGCTGGAACGATACATTCCTACATACCCACTTCCAAGACCAATAACTATAAGCTTTTCCCGGTCACTAGCTATTAAAGGTATTAACTTTCTCCTCTCACCGTGTGTATCCATGGGTTGATAGTTTAGAAATGTAGATCTTATATCCTCCAGACTGGCAGAAAATAGAAGCCGAGGGCCACCAGGCCTAACATAATGCTGAGTGGATACATTAAACACGAAAACTTTTTCTTCATTAACAATCAACAAATAACCCTTAATAGCCTGAAAAGTAAGAGGCTCCTCTATGTCAAATTTCTTCTTGGATCTAACCCTGCACTTGAAGTTCATTATATCCCCCAACAATAACACATGAATCAGATCACCCTCTGATGTAAACCCATACGCTTTAGACCGCTCCGTGGTGTCAAACACATAACTCCGAGCAAGAGAGTGATTGAATCCTTCACATTCTGATTCCCTAACCTTCATGCTCCTTAAATCCAAGGACCCTGCGCCACTTTCAGTCAGAAACAAAAGCCTCTGCTTCAAGAAAGCCAGCGGCCTGCTTGCCGGCATAGCAGACCCATAAACTGTCCCATTCTCTCTATAAACCGTTATCTTGCCACTGAGATCAGTGGACAATACATACCGTATCCTTCCAACATGATGAACTTCCAATATGGTTATCGGCATCCCGTCTTCCCCACCTCCTATGCTCTCAAATTTACCAACATGTTCCATCACAAGTGAATTCAAATCTTCACCGTTTGACCCCTCATAAATTCTATGCCGCAAAATCACCCCATTTTGATGGCCTGTAACCACAACACTCTCATTCTTATTAACTGACAAATACGAAACCATAGCCGTAACGGGCGAATCACAAGTAGTGTAAAAGTCAACCAAAACATCCCCATTCCTCAAGAACACATAAACCCTCCCCGTCGAATCTCCAACAGCAAAATACTTGCTCAGCCCCTCGTAATCACGAAACGGCAATACGTTCGAACACGTCGCATCAGAATCCAACTTCACCGCTGACACGAATTGAAACCTCTCAGACCATAAAGGACTGTACTTAGTAACAGAA